AGATACACACAGACACACCCACACACACAGAGACAGATATACACCCCCAAAATAAAATGGGACAGTTGGAGGTAGGGCATGGTGGCTTATCCCTGTAACTCTGTCAGTTAGGAGGCAGAAGCAGGAAGATCAGGAGTTTGAGGCTAGCCTGGGCTGTGCAGCCAGACCCTGTCTCAATGAAACAAAACCATTAACAGAAGCTTTGCTAAACCAGAAAGCCCACGGTGTGCTGGGTTCAGGGATGCTGTCCACGAGTGTCTTCCCATCTCGTTCAGGACGTTGCTGGGCTCAGTGGAACGCCTGTGTGGAGAGCCGACTGCTCCGCACAGACCAGAGGCTGCTGGTGCTTCATACCTTCTGTCTGCCACCGCTCAACTCTGCTGTCACGCTGCATTTGGCTACCCTAAGGGGCCAAGAGCTGGAGAAAGAGACAGAACAGTGCCTGTACGTGTCTGCTCCCCTGGACCTTGGGCCTCAAATCAGGTGAGGCACGTGCTATGTCATCAGCTGGCACCACTCGGAGGTGGGACTGGAAGTGTGGGTCAACCCGTCTCACCATAGGGATGGCAACCAGAGGATCCGCAACAAATGGCATGAAGGGACAGTGGAATGCTATGACAACTTCTTCATCCAGAGAACAGGAAGGGCTCTATCCATAGGATGTGGCGCCCAACAGAGACTTGGAGGAGGGGCTTGGGGAGAGGAGGAGAAAGGGAGACGCAGGGCCTTGCACCCAGGATCTACCCAAGGTCCCTGAGCAGGAGGGGACATGCTCCCAGCTTGCTTCAAAATATTCTGCTCTCTGTGAGTCAGCTTAGCATCTTATAGGAGTCAAAGTAGAAGCTTGAGGTAGCTGGGCCTGTCAGCCGGGTCCCTGCTGGACGCAGATGGCTTACTGTAGTCAGAAACTTATTACCGATGGATCAGCATCCTCTCTCAGCTGTGAGTGAACAGGACTAACCCAGGTGACAGTGTGGAGCTGCTATAGGGTGGGGCAAGCCATCGCTCCTAGGACTGCAGAGATAAGACAGGGGTTGACTGGAATCCCCTCTGTGGAGAGAGACAGAAGCCATGGCCTTGACTAGTGGGTACTGAGTCTGCCATGTTAGCCCTTTGGTATGAAATAAATGAATAACCTTGTGTTCTCCTCAGCCCACCATCTCTCCTCAAACCTCCTGGGCCCCTACCAATGCTTTGCACTGGCTGGACCTAAACAGAAGCCTAGAGGGTGGGAGCTGAGACATTGTCTCTGCAGGGAAAGCCGGAGAATGGCCTAGAAGGTCTGTAGAAACCCACCAGCATGCTTGCACTAGGGAAGACAGACACTAACAAGAGAATTAGGAAGTTTGACAGATTCAGGAAGTTAATGCTGAGAGGACTCAGAGAGGAATTAGACATGTGGCAGATGTCAAAGTGACCTGTCAGGGGCTCCAGGGAGGGGGTGGGACATCACATAGAAGGTTCAGGGGGTTGTAGCCAAACAAGTGATCTTCAGGTTCAGTGAGAGACCTTGTCTCAAACAGTAAGATGAAGAGTAAGAGAAGATACCCCATATCAACCTCTTACCCCCTCCCCACACGTGCACACACACACATACACACGCACGCATACATACGTACACATGCATGCATGCACTCAGACACCTGTGTACACACACACAGGCACACACTTGTGTACACACATACACATGCATGCACACACACCTGTACACACACACACCTGTATACACACACACACACACACACACACACAAACAAAAACACAAAAAAGAAAGAAGGCCCAAGGTTTGGACTCTGACTCACGATTCATGTTCCATTCACCCACTCAAGAGTGATGTCACCTGGGACCAATCACGCAAGTCCTCTGAGCCTGGCGTGCTCCCAAGCACTCTTGGGGCTCTGACATGTCACTCTCAGAGCTACTCTGATCACGCACCATATGTGTACTATGAAGCCACGACACTGTCACTTTTATCAACACTAAAGAGGATCTCAGAATTTATCTGGCTTTGTCTACTTCCTTTGCAGCTAAGGAAACCAATTCTTAAGTAACTCACGCAAAGCAAATCTTCCTAAGTGACAGGGTCAGGATTGGAAGCCAGGGACCTGTCCTGCACCCCCATATCACTGCAAGTGAAGTGACATGGAAATCCGGTCACGTCCTGACTCTTCTTCGGCCTGCAGACCAAGGCTGTGTCCTGGCTTAGGTTGGAGCATTGGTTGGTTTATTCCATCTTTCATTCGGATAAAGGCAATGTCCCACCTTCTCCACAGACTTGAGAATTGGGCAAAGACCAGGCAAGCGGTCACGATGCCTGACTGAGCTTTCTCCATACCCTCTGTACCTTCCAGCTGTCAGAAGAACTGCCGGCCAGTGAAAGCCGACCAGGACATTCTGCTCACCGTCACCGTGGGCGATGAAACCCCGGTGGCCGTATTCAACTGGTACTTAGATGACATCTCACCAGAGAAGGTGAGATATCACAGCCACTCGGAAGAAAATGTGTCCTCTGAGAGGACCAGCCTTGTGTTGAATGCTGGGTCTTGAGCCAGGGTAGGCTAACCTCATTTGGAACCAGTGCAGGGGCAGTCAGGAAGATTAGGGATCTGAGGGAATTTCTAACAGGTGAAGGTATAAACAGGATCAAAGCCTCCTGACCTCCTGGGTAGCAGCAGTGCCACCATGCCATTCGCTTATCAGAAAGAAATTTGACAGGCCCAGAGGATTGGAAGCCACAGGACTGAGGATGTCCAGGGGCCTACCTAGCAGACTCTAAGGGCCTGAGGGCTCTTCCCTTGCAGGCTGAGCCCCTGCCAGCTGCCTGCAGACTCAGAGGATTTTGGCCACGATCACTGACCCTCCTTTACAGCAACTCCTCCCTGCTGCTGCTGAACGGCAGCTTCCTGCAGACCTGGGGACCTGCTATTCACATCCGGGTCACAGGTGAGAAGCTGTCACCCCCATCTCTCGTTATGGGACCAGGACAAACTTGGAAACACTAAAATAAGGGACTTTGGTCTAACATGGAGCAAGGTATGGAGTTTTCTGCCTAGAAGACTTTGGGCAAAGGATTTGACTTCATGTTGCCTCCGTTTCCCCATGTGTGGCTCTGGTGGTGGTGGGGATATAAATGCCTGTCCTGGAACTGATGTCATTCCAGGAGTTTGACAGGATGCCGGTGGCACAAGCTGGTCACCGTAAGTCAACCTGTGTGTGCCACCAGAAATCAGGGTGACTCCGCTCAGGCAGAGTCAGAGAACACAGATGGCTTTGTTTCCTAAGAACATTTCCTTTGACTCCACGTTACATCAGTGCAGGACTGCAGGCAAGGACCACCTATGTGCCTGTTGGTTCTGTTATTTCCTAACGCAGCCCACGGAGCACCCACAGCCAGACAAACTGAGGTGGGCACTTGGGCAGTAGACACACCTGCTCTACCTCAGACCATCTCAACTGAGTTAGGCTAAGGCTTTAGTTGTAACCAATTAAGATTCTCCTTTGTGGGGGCTGGAGGGGTGGCTCAGTGGTTAAGAGTGCAGGCTGCTCTTCCCGAGGACCTGGGTTCAATTCCCAGCTCCCATGCGGCTGCTCACAACTGTTTGTAACTCTAGCTCCAGGGGATCTGTTGCTCTCTTGCAGACAGACAGAAAGACAGACACACAGACAGACACACAGACTTGCAGGTAACTCACCAGTGCACATAAAATAAAAACAAATAAACCATTAAAAAGGAAAAAGATTCTCCTTTGCTCCACTCTTGTGGCCAGTGCTGTTTTGAACTCCACGGCCGTGTCAGACGTGGTGGTATACTGCTGCAGGATGGACAGGGGCTCACAGTGCTGAGGATGTGAGGCTGGAAACAGATGGCTTCTGGGTAGTATCCACCTGCCTCCAGCACCAGTCTCGGTTCCTCCCTGGCTTGGCGATCTGACTTCTGGGTAATCTGTAGTAGTCCTATGAGGAAGCTCATGTAGTCCTATGAGGAAGTTACTATTGGTTCCTCTTTACAGATGACAGAGGTCAAGCCAAGGCCACTTAGATAGAAAATAGCAGAACTCCAGTCCCATGTCTGCCCACTTTCTCAGTGAGCCTGCGGCCCTACACTAGGGACAATTGTTAGATAAGAGTATTTGGGGGCCTACTCCAGAATCTCCAGAGAGGTCAGAGGCTGCTGGTCTGTAGCGGTCCAGACATCTTTGTTTAACAAGTTCCCAGGTCATCCTGAAGAGGGGTTAAAGTTTTGGACAGGTAGTCCCCTGAGCACAATGAATGTTCACTTCCCAGCACTGACCAGCCACGCCTACGGGGAGGACACTTACGTGATCAGCATGCTGCCTCCACCTGAGGCGCCCGCCTGCGTGATTGACCCAGAGGAAGGCTCCATACTGACGAGCTTTGCTATCTTCTGCAGCGCCTCCACAGCCCCGGGCCCCATGGAGTACTGTTTCTGCCTGCAGTCAGGTACCAGCCAGAGGCTCTGCTCTTCCCTCAGCTCCCAGACTCTAAGAATGGGGATTGCTCCTGTCAGACAGCTGCAATAGAGTCTGTCCTATGATGAGAGAGGTTGACAGGATGAGGGACTCCTAAGTCTTGGTTACTCCCAAAGCACTGGCCCAGTCATCATACCAGAAGGGCAGCATGCAACAACAGCATCTGCCCAAACCTAGGGGACGCAATGACTTTGTCCCAGTGTAAGGTATATAAAATGGTTAAATGGAAGAAGAGACACAACAGGTAGGGGCATATCAGGTCATAGTCCTCAACATATGCACACACACACACACACACACACACACACAGGAGAGAGAGAGAGACAGAGAGACAGAGAGAGGGAGGGGGAGAAAAGAGAGGAGAGGAAAGGGAGAGAGAGAGAGGAGAGGGGGAGAGAGTCGGGGGAGAGAAAGAGAGGAAAGGAAAGGGGAAAGAGAAGAGGAGAGAGAGAAGAGAAGAGAGGGGAGGGGAGGGAGAGAAGAGGGAGAGAGAGGGAGGGAGGGAGGAAGAGAGAGAGAGAGAGAGAGAGAGAGAGAGAGAGAGAGAGAGAGAG